AAACAGGGAGCTGACTGGGGCTAAGATTATGAGTTTCTTATTGCCAAATTCAGACTTAAATTGAAGAAAGTTGGGAAAACCACTGGATCATTCAGGTATGACCTTAATCAAACCCCTTACGATTATAGAGTGTAGGTGAGAAACAGATTTCTGGGATTAGATATGATAGACTACCTGAAGAACTATGGATGGAGGTCCCTGACATTGTACAGGTGGCAGTGATCAAGACCATCCCCAGGAAAAAGAAATGCAAAAGGCAGAATGGTTGTCTGAGGAGGCCTTACAAACAGCTGAGAAAAGAAGAGAAACTAAAGGCAAAGGAGAGAAAGAAAGATATACACATCTGAAAGCAGAGTTCCAAAGAATAGCAAGGAGAGACAAGAAAGCCTTATTCAGTGATCAAGGCAAAGAAATAGAGGAAAACAACAGAATGGGAAAGACAAGAGATCTCTTCAAGGAAATCAGAGAAACTAAGGGAACATTCCACGCAAAGATGGGCACAAGGAAGGACAGAGACAGTATGGACCTAAGAGAAGCAGAAGATACTAAGAACAGGTGGCAAGAATACACAGAAGAGCTATACCAAAAAGATCTTCATATTCAGGTAACCACGATGGTGTGATCGTTCACCTAGACCCAGACAGCCTGGAATGAGAAGTCAAGTGGGCCTTAGGAGGCATCACTGTGAAAAAAGATAGTGGAGGTGATGGAATTCCACTTGAGCTATTTCAAATCCGGAAAGACGATGCTGTGAAAGTGCTGCACTCAATATGCCAGAAAATTTGGAAAACTTGGTAGTGGCCACAGGACGAGAAAAGGTCAGTTTTCATTCCAATCCCAAAGAAAGGCAATGCCAAAGAATGTTCAAACCACCGCACAATTGCACTCATCTCTCATGCTAGCAAAGAAATGCTCGAAATTCTCCAAGCCAGGCCTCAACAGCTCTCAACAGAACTCCAAGCCAGTTCTTCAGCTGAGAACTTCCAGCTTTTCAAGCGGGATTTAGAAAAGGCAGAGGAACCAGGGGTCAAATTGCCAACCTCCGCTGAATCATCAAAAAAGAAAGAGAGTCCCAGGAAAACATCTGTTTCTGCTTTATTGACTATGCCAAGGCCTTTGACTGTGTGGATCGCAACAAACTGTGGAAAATTCTTTCAGAGATGGGAATACCAGACCACCTGACCTGCCTCCTGGGAAATCTGTATGCTGATCAAGAAGCAACAGTTAGAAGCGGACATGGAACAGAAGACTGGTTCACAATTGGGGAAGGAGTATGTTAAGGATGTATATTGACACGCTTCTTATTTAACTTTTATGCAGAGTACATCATGTGAAATTCCCACCTGGATGAAGCACAAGCTGGAATCAAGTTTGCTAGGAGAAATGTCAATAACCTTAAATAGGCAGATGACACCACCCTTTTGGCAGAAAGTGAAGAAGAGCTAAAGAGCCTCTAACGAAGTGAAAGAGGAGAGTAAAAAAGCTGACTTAAACTCACCATTCAAAAATCTATGATCATGGCATCCAATACCATCACTTCATGGCAAAGAGATGTGGAAAAAATGGAGACAGTGACAGGCTTTATTGTCTTGGGTTTCAAAATCACTGCAGGAGGTGACTGCAGCAATGATATTAAAAGGCACTTGCTTCTTAGAAGAAAAGCTTTAAAAAACAGACAGCATGTTGAAAAGCAGAGACATTACGTTGCCAACAAAGGTCTGTCTAACCAAAGCTATGGTTTTTCCAGTAGTCATGTATGGATCTGAGAGTTGGACTTTATTATAAAGAAAGCTGAGCGCCGAAGAATTGAGGCTTTTGAACTGTGGTGTTGGAAAGGACTCTTGAGAGTCGCCTGGACTGCAAGGAGATCCAACCACTCCATCCTAAAGGAGATCAGTCCTGGGTGTTCATTAAGGACTGATGCTGAAACTGAAACTCCAATCCTTTGGCCACCTGATGGGAAGAACTGACTCACTGGAAAACACCCTGAACTGACTCATTGGAAAAGACCCTGATGCTGGGAAAGATTGAGGGGAGGAGGAGAAGGAGACTACAGAGGATGAGATGGTTGGATGGCATCACCGACTTGAAGGACAGGAGTTTGAGCAGGCTCCATAAGATGGTGATGGACAGGGAAGCCTGGCATGCTGAAGTCCATGGGGTTGCACAAAGTCGGACATGACTGAGGAACTGAACTGAACCGAAAGCATTGATGTATCATACCACTAACAACTTACTTTAACCAATTGTTATTTCCACTAAACACATTTGCAGACAATCATAAAATGTCTACCTACTCTATATATCAAGCTGTTTATGACTATAAAAAGGTTAACATATTCTTGCTTGAGACAGTTCTTATTTGGTATAGGCATTTGCTGTTGTTGCTTTTAGGAAGGGCAAAGCTTTTTTCAAAGTGCTTTTAACTTACTAAATAAATGTCTTGAGTAACAAGAAAGTATGCACACAATTTAGAAGTTGGCACTCATCTTAAATATAGAGGATACCCTCAGGTTATTTATCTTCACCTATTTCTGAGAAGAAAAATATTACAAATCAGTGAAAATCATGTTTTACTTAAAGTGCTATGAGCTAAAAATTCTACCTACCAAAGCAGTAAACAAAGGATGGTGCCATCATCAAGTCATCACATTACAGCTGCCTTGATGCTGAGCCCTGACAGAACTTTGGATAAGGCAGGATTTAACCAGTCAACAGATGGTATTAAATAGTCAACTACTGTGGCCACTCCTCTCCCCAGAGGGCACCCTGAAGGGACTAATGATGACAAGCACTGTAACTAGCCCCAGATAGTAGAAGAGCATATGAAAGTGCATATGATTTCAATGAGCCCAGACTTCGCATCTTTCCAAACAGAAAAATAGTGAATTTGTTGAGATTTTTTAATTTCTTTAACAGTAATCATTTTGGTCAAAAAACACATAAAATGATGATCATCACTAATGAGCATTTCACAGAAGTGAAATCAAAACTACAGGGAGATATCACCTCACATCAGTCAGAGTGGCCATTATCAAAAGTTACAAACAATAAATGATGGAGAGAATGTAGAGAAAAGGGAACCCTCTACACTGTTGGTGGGAATATAAGATGGTGCAGCCATTATAAAAAACAGTATGGTGTTTCCCTAGAAAACCACTTATCCTATGATCCAGCAATACCAATTCTAGGCATATATATTGAAAAGACAGGCCAAAAAGACACATGTATCCCAATGTTCAATGCAACACTATTTACAATAGCCAGAATGTGGAAGCACCCTAACTGTCCACTGACAGATAAATAAATAAAGATGTGGTGTGTATATACATATTTATATGGAACGGAATATTATCCAGCCATAAAAAAGAAGAAAATGCCATTTGTAGCAATAAGCATGGACCAACAGACCATCATACTGAACAAAATAAATCAGAAAGAGAAACTAATATCATACCATTAATCTTCTGATACTCTGAATACCTGGTCTCTGTTGTAAAAATTTCTATGTAACCTGGCCCTACCTTATAATATATGTGGAACAATCAATAGAGTTATCTGAGGTGCTGTGTCCTGGGCCTAAGTACTCAGTTTTGTCCACCAAATAAAATACAACTCTACACTTTCAGGTTGTACATTTTTTTCAGTGCCAGTCAGAACTTAACAGATTATCATTCCTGCACTGCAGGTAGATTTTTTACCAGCTGAGACACAAGTGAAGCCCAAGACAACTGGAGTGGGTTTTACCCCTTATCCAGGGATAAGGGATCTATTGTTACCATACCATGTCATGGATAATGTAAGATTTTCAAACATTTTCTAACTTAAGTAAAAAACTTTAAAAATCAAGAGCAAAAATGAGAAATGTTATTTTCACTTGTAAAATAAAAAATATATTTTGTGTAAGTTCTGTTTATAATAGACAGCTCCGAAAATACTTGGAAAGCCCTGAGTGAAGTGTTTTTTTTCCTTAAGTGCTCCCTTTGGTTCACTTAATGCTAACGAGAGGACTTATAAGGAAACCCTAGGAATTCTGAGGATGAGGCTGGGTAGGGAGGAGAAAGGATGCAGAGTAAGCGCTACAATAAATTCCTGAAAGTGAGATTTGATTATTTCAACCCAATTCCTTAGGGACAGAAGTTCCTGAGCTTAGAAAACTTTCAGATATCATCTCTGTACCTCCTCATTTTCCTTTTCGTTTGCATCCTTTACAACATTCCTTATAATAAATTAATGTTTCCCTGAGCTTTGTGAGTAATTCTAAAAATTAATCAAACTCAAGAAGTGGGTTTGGGAAACTGTATAATAGCTGGATCATCAAGAAGATACATGACAACCTAGATAAAACTCACTTCTGAAGAAGGCAATCTTGGGGGACTAAATCTTTTTCCTTGTGGGATCTATGCTATCTTTAAGTAAATAGTGTCAAAATTTGAGTTAAAATTTATAGGACAATACTGAGAACTGGAAAATTATTTGATGGTGTTGGAAAACACTTCAGGGTAACTCTTTCATAAAGTTTCCCATCTGCATGTATAGATGAAAATATCAAAGAGCATCTTTTTCTAATGTGATGAGGTGTAATCTTCACATTTCTATCTACTTTTTTTCTCAATGCTTGTTTTGTTTATGAACTTGCATGTGTGCAAGCTAAGTCACTTTAGTCTTGTCTGACTCCTTGCAACCCTATGGACTATAGCCTGCCAAGCTCCTCTGTCCACAGGACTGTCCAGGCAGAAATACAGGAGTGGATTGCCATTTCCTTCTCCAAGGGGTCAAAGTTTGATTACCTACCCAGGGATCAAACGTGCATCTCTCTCTCACATCTAGGAGATGTGCATTGGTAAGCAGGTTGTTTACCACTAGCACCACCTGGGAAGCCCCTTTATGAGCTCAGAAGAAACTAAAATACAGTTCTAAGTATGTTGAGAAAATGTAAAAACAATCTCATTTTTCTATGCTGCAAATGAAGCAGAAATTGTAAAAACAAAAAAGATTACCTTTTGGATAATCTTCCAATAAGAGGTTGAAGTGACCTAACTGACAAAAGAATTCAGACTCCACTTTTCCTTCAGCTTTTAAGATTAGAGATTCGTAGCAGCAAACAGCCTAGAAAAAAAAAATAATAAATAAGTATCAAGAAAAAAACAAAATCCTAATTGCATGCTTTCTGAGAGAATAGCTATATACTATGGGAGAGTACTCAAGAAATCAGTCAGTGTTATTTCCATCAAGACTCTGAAACCAAAATTTCCAGAAATTAGAAGAAAATGGGACTTTCTTGATGGTCCCAGTGGTTAAAAATCTACCTGCCAATTCTCAGAGATAGGATTCAACCCCTAGTAGGGAAACTAAGATTCCACATGCTGTGAAGCAACTAATAACATGCCCTGCAACTACGGAGTCTGTGTGCCACAACTAGAAAAGCACGTGCTTCTTAACAAAAGCTCCTGCATGCCACAACTAAGACGCAGTGCAACCAAATAAATAAATAATAAATATTGTAGCAAAAGAAATTAGAAGAAATAGCTTTCTAATTACTTAGCAGAGCCATCACTTATGATTCAAGTTTTGTTTATGATTCAAAGCTTTCCCATATGATGAAAAGTGGAGAATAAGACCTATCAAATAAGATGATTTAGAAGTTCCTTTAATGACTGTTAGTTTCCAATCTAAATTATAACTTCAATCCTTGTTCACATAACTGAACTACCTGCATATAAACACAAGGAGAAAGAACTTTACTGAAATTTCAGGAGCCATTAACCACAATTGAAATGTGGCAAGTCCAAATTGAGATGTGCTATAACTGTAAACTATACAACAGATTACAAAGATTGCATACAACAGGCTGATACATTTACTAACAATTTTATGTTGACCATTAAGTTAGATATATTATTCAATTTCATGTTCCTCTTTACTAGTTAATACAGTTATCAAATTTAAAAATCACACGAGGAATTAAAAATCTGTGCTTTACTACATTTCTATTGGATAAAGCTGCTCAACAATAGCTACTATCTCAGCTACTTTTGCAAAGAAATGTTACATTTTAGAGCACCATACACAACTTCCTTTAGTTTTTCAGGCAAATACATCATGTATTTTCTTACTAATGCTGCTCACATTATTTCAAACATACTAACTCAAATATTATCTCACCCCCTACCAAAGATATCTCTCATGCTTTTATCAGAGAAAAAGATAACACTTAAAGAATCTCCTTTAAAAAAAAAAACTTTCAGAAGTCTGCAGATAGATGAAATTACGATTTTATTAAAACATCAGAAAGAACAGTATTCTGGAGTATCTGCAGAAAGAACAATGTTCTGCAGAGTTTTCATGAATGGTGGGAAAATTTATTCATATATTAAGATACTGGGGATGGGGAGGGAGTTCTATAATGATCCAGAGGTTACGTTTCCACACTTCCACTGCCATTATTCAGGGCCAATCCCTGGTTGGGAATTAAACAGCCTGACCTATGACTATCAAACACACAAAGCACATCTGCTTTAATCATTAACATAAAGAACGTCAAGTTTAAAAACAGAAATAAATAGCTCCCTTCCTACAGTGTTCATGGTAACACTCTCAAGACAAGATTCCTTTACTATATTTTAATTTACATAAAGTTTAGGCCAAACCATGTATAAGCCAGAACGACTACCCTCTATCTTCTTTTTTTTCCTTTTTCTTCTTGGCCATACCACTTGGTTTTCAGGACCTCAAATCACTAAAAACAATTAAAAATCTGAATTTTTTCCTAGGTCCCAGAAGTCACCGTAAAGTGAAAATACAAAATTTCAAGCCTCTGTCAACTTAAAAAATTGTCAAAACCTAGAAGATGAGAGTTCAGTTTTATTTTGTGAGACTTTTTAAGACTTCAAGCCCAGGAGACAAAATCTCAAGAAACCCTGAGAAAACTATTCTGAGGAAGCAGGGAGAGAAGTCAGGTTAAACAGAAGTTTGCAACAAGGGGCAGGGAGTTTGAACATCAAAAGGTTATTCTTAACTAAGGAAAACCAGCTGTCTCAACTTAAGGAATTTAGCCCTTTTTTATGTACAGGAAAACACGAGAGTGTGGGCTGACTGAAGTCAATCACTGACGAGCATCCCTCATTTGATTATTTATAATAATCAAATCATTTATTATGTAATCATTGATTATTAATCATTTGATTATTCACATCCTTGGCTCCTTTATCATGTAGGAAGTGATGGCAGCCCATGGCTGGCTGCTGATGAGCACACATTGTTCTTCCTGTTCTTAGAAATTAACATTTGGAGGATAGAATCCCTAATGGTTGTGATATCCATGTGTATTGATTTGGAAGGAAATACTCCTTACCATAGTCCCTCCCTGTGATCAAAAATTGAGCCAATTTGGGGGACATTTCATGACCACTTTTTGTTCCATGGCGCTGGGAGGTTCTTCCCAGATCAGACAAATAAGAAATTCTATTTCTATGTCACTCCAGGTGTTAACTTCTGGATTAGACCCATTGGTAAGTAATCAAAAATTCTCTGGATCCTGCATCTTCTAACCTATTAAAATCCAGGAGATTTTTTTTTTTCTTGCTTCTTCCCTTACTATATAGTTATTAATTGTATACTCTGATGAGTAACTTTAAGTCACCTGGTCACCAATACATTTGTTGGAGGGAGGGTTACACCTCCAACAATCTTAAGAGACAAGGGACAACAGTCATAAGATAAAGTAGCTCATAACACTGACAAAGTTATAAAGCAGCAGAGAGAAAAAGATGAAAAAAAATTTGAAAAAGAGAACAAACTAAATCAGTATACAAATAAAATAAACTAGTATACAAAGAAAACTAGTTAAACAAATTAAAATTAGTTAACTAGTAGGAATCCAAGTCTAGTGAACCATCAAGTCCAAAGGAAAGTTACCTGGATAAGTCAGATTTTGGCAGGATCAGGCAGAAAAATAGGGAAATGTTTCATCTTCGTTTACAAAGGCATACTCTATCAACTTATTGTAGGTCACAGCATAACAGAAAAAACTTCACTGAAAAATAGCTTTAACTGTCGGTTTTCAGACGTCAAAGTTACATCATTTATCGGTTCATTCAGGCCCATGTTAACGGATTCCTGTTGACCCACATGAAGTAATCAGGATTTTTCATTAACAGATAGTCACTATTACCACATTCAGTGGCATTACCTAAAGGCTATCGGAAACACACATTTAAAATTCTTTTTATAGTCTTTTTGAAAATCATTTTCTAAAGGCAGTGTAAAATTACAATACTCTATAAAGGACAAAGCTTAAATTATAGGCTAAAGATTTGAGGACAATGCAATTAGGAAACTATTTCTATAACATAATATTTCAACATTATAACTTGAATTATGATAACTTTATAACATTATGGCTGATATGACTGGTAAAGTTTGATAAAGTTATGATTGATAACTTTATAACATTATTTCATTATATATCACATATTACGGATTTCATGTGAAATTCTGCGGTATCTATTAATATATTAATGATACTTATCTATACATTACAATCTAAAGTTTACCTCTCTAATCCTGACAATGTTTCCAAATTTAAAATACCAAAAACGTAGCTTACTATATCTAAGATGTCTCACACATGTTTCTTTGAAGCACCCATACCAGATTTCATTGCACTTTCTCAGTTGTGTAAGACTCTTTGTGACCACATGGAATGCAGCACGCCAGGCTTCCCTGTCCACCACCAAACCCCACAGTTTGTTCAAACTCGTGTCTATGCAATCAATGATACCATCCAACCATCTCATTTTCTGCTGTCCCCTTTATTGCCTCCCTTCAATCTTTCCGAGCATCAGGATCTTTTCCAAGAAGTCAATTCTTTGCACCTGGTGGCCAAAGTATCGAGGTTTCAGGTTCAGCATTCAGTTCAGTTCAGTTCAGTCACTCAGTTGTATCAGACTCTTTGCGACCCCATGAATCGCAGCACGCCAGGCCTCCCTGTCCATCACCAAACCCCGGATTTTACTCAAACTCATGCCCATCGAGTCGGTAATGCCATCCAGCCATCTCATTCTCTGTCGTCCACTTCTCCTCCTGCCCTCAATCCCTGCAAGCATCAGGGTCTTTTCCAATGAATCAACTCTTCACATGAGGTGACCAAAGTATTGGAGTTTCAGCTTCAGGGTCAGTCCTTCCAATGAACACCCAGGACTGATCTCCTTTAGGATGGACTGGTTGGACCTCCTTGCAGTCCAAGGGACTCTCAACAGTCTTCTCCAACACCACAGCTGAAAAGCATCAATTTTTCGGCACTCAGCTTTCCTCACAGTACAACTCTCACATCCATACAATGGTTGGATCTCCTTGCAGTCCAGGCGACTCTCAAGAGTCCTTTCCAACACCACAGTTCAAAAGCCTCAATTCTTCGGCGCTCAGCTTTCTTTATAATAAAGTCCAACTCTCAGATCCATACATGACTACTGGAAAAACCATAGCTTTGGTTAGACAGACCTTTGTTGGCAACGTAATGTCTCTGCTTTTCAACATGCTGTCTGTTTTTTAAAGCTTTTCTTCTAAGAAGCAAGTGCCTTTTAATATCATTGCTGCAGTCACCTCCTGCAGTGATTTTGAAACCCAAGACAATAAAGCCTGTCACTGTCTCCATTTTTTCCACATCTCTTTGCCATGAAGTGATGGTATTGGATGCCATGATCATAGATTTTTGAATGGTGAGTTTAAGTCAGCTTTTTTACTCTCCTCTTTCACTTCGTTAGAGGCTCTTTAGCTCTTCTTCACTTTCTGCCAAAAGGGTGGTGTCATCTGCCTATTTAAGGTTATTGACATTTCTCCTAGCAAACTTGATTCCAGCTTGTGCTTCATCCAGGTGGGAATTTCACATGATGTACTCTGCATAAAAGTTAAATAAGAAGCGTGTCAATATACATCCTTAACATACTCCTTCCCCAATTGTGAACCAGTCTTCTGTTCCATGTCCGCTTCTAACTGTTGCTTCTTGATCAGCATACAGATTTCCCAGGAGGCAGGTCAGGTGGTCTGGTATTCCCATCTCTGAAAGAATTTTCCACAGTTTGTTGCGATCCACACAGTCAAAGGCCTTG